CCCACGTCCTCCCGAAGCCTCCGCAGCGGGTCCTGTGGGTATGGACGCGGCCCCACGGCCCCCCAGAGCCTCCACATCAGGTGCCCAGGAGGTCCGGCTCCTGTCCCAGCGGCTGCCCAGGCCGGGCTCCGGGCGGGAGCTGGGGTCGGGCGCCCTCTGCAGGCGGGGGAGGCAGTGCAGGACAAGGTGAGCTCCCCGCTCAATGGAAGCACCTGCGCTCTCCCCGAGTCCTGCTGAAGCCATTTAAATCCTGAAAATTCAAGCTGAATGGAGCCCGATATCCCCCCAGAATTCTCCAAAAATAGCTAAGGAATAATTAATTGGAAACAATATGGAATGACAACGGTCCCTGACACAAACAGTGCCACTGAACATGACCCTGGCCCTGACTGAACATGATTCTGACCCAAACTTGATCTCAAGCCTGGTCCTGACCCCAACCCAAGACCCTAACCCTAGCCCCCAACCCGAACAAGGTTCACGATAATCACAAGGTAGAAACCATGCAAAAGTCCATCCATGGTGAATGTATAAACAAAGTGTGGTTAAGGATTTGGGTCTGGGTTCAGGTTCAGGTTTGGGTCACAGTTCTAGATCAGGGTTTGGGTTTAGGATCAGGGTGAGGGTGAGGGTTTTGGGTGAGGGTGAGGGTCATGGTTAGAGTCAGAGTTTAGGGCTTTAGGCTTATGATTTAGGGTTTCAGCCTTAGGGTTTAGGGGATAAAGTTCAAGGTCCAATTTGGGGTTTGGGTTCTTGCTGGGGTTTGGGTTCCGGGCTCATGACTCACAGTTCTGGTTCAGGGTTTGGGTTCGTCTTCAGGGCTTGGATTCAGGGCTTGGGTTCAGAGTTCGGGTGTGGGGTTCAATTTCAGGATTGAGATTCAGGGTTCCAGTTTGGGGTTTAGGGTCATGTTAGGTTTTAGGGTTAATTTAAGGGTTACAGTTAGGTTTAGGGATCACACATGTTCTTCCATTGTCATCATGGACACAAAATCTCTACCCGAAATTTCCAAATCTGAAATCTATTTAGTCTGGGTGTCAGGAGCTTGTTCAGAATTTAGGGTCACAGTAACTGCCTACCAACAGCATTCTGATCCTAGAGTCTCCCAGTCACCCAGAAGCTGCTTTTTTCTTGGGTCAAACATAGCCTTTGCAGAGAAGGGTGAGCTGGTGCCAGATCTGGGATGATCTCACAATGGTAGAGGTGTGAAACCAAATATTCTGGAAATGTTCATGGACAATGAAACAGGAGACAAATAATCTGTCGACTCCTGATTCTTCCACAATAACAAAGACCAGGTTCCCCAGGAATCTGATACTGTGCCCTAGGAAGGACCATGATACTCTACTGATACCAAAAGAGGGCCTCCTCCCCTGGTTTAAGCTAAGAATCACAGGACGATACTTTCTATTTGTTGTCAAAAATAAAATTTTAGGGGCGCCTGGGTGGCTCAGTCGTTAAGCATCTGCCTTCAGCTCAGGTCATGATCCCAGGGTCCTGGGTTCAAGCCCCACATCGGGCTCCCTGCTCAGCGGGAAGCCTGCTTCTCCCTCTCCCACTCCCCCTGCTTCTGTTCCCTCTCTCGCTATGTCTCTCTCTGTCAAATAAAGAAATAAAACCCTTAAAAAAATAAAAAAATAAAATTTTATTATTTGTATGTTCCAGTGTACAATTTGTGGACACATTGCCAACGTTTTCCATTCTCAAATACTCATCAACACACGGATAAAATGCAGGCACTGCATTTATTATTTATATTGTAATACATTGCTCATTGGAATACCAAGTACAAGGAGGGCTAGCAGAAGTCATAAAAATATATCTACCATTAAACTCAGAGAAAGCACTCTTTATTGGCACTTAATGAGGATCCCTAGCCAGAAGATCTAACATCTCATCCTATGGAATCCACCCATAAAAATCATCAATAACAATAGCCTGCCGACCACTGTAACCCCCTATAGGCTTGTAATACACACTCCAAACGCTAGAGACACACGTCAGCAGCAGAACAGGACCTGCCCATTCCCAGGGGACCAACTGTTAGAGGGACGGAAAAAAGTCCCACTCCTTGGAAATCCCAGCTGTTAGGACAACGTCATAGAAACCACACCCACAACTTAATAAAAGACACACATCTCGTTAGCCGGAGGCTGCAGATCACCACCCCTCTCACGAAGTCACTCCACAGCAGACTCGAGATCTGTGCTCTTCCCAGGATTACACGGGGCGCCACATTCCTCCAATACTCCATCCTTAGAACAAAACCTTTAACTGTCCTCGTCGGTCCTGTGCGCAGGCTTACAGTGAGCCCTGCGACAGCCAGACACCTTCTTGAGAGCACTCAGCCTCTCACGCCTATCCTAGCAGATAGAGGGCGCTGCTCTCCCTGATTTCTGTATCAACTAGAAAATACTTGGAACAAGTCTTATCATACTCCACGCAAAAGGCATGTTCTTCATCCGCAAAATCACTGATGATGAAACACCACAGATTCCTCGCACCTTCTTGAACCTAGGTAAATTGGAGATACAGGTTGGCCAGAGCTATTATCTCCAATCCCCGTACCCCCGCCCCACACACACCCTTACCTCGTGCATTCCAGACCAGTTTCCATCAACTTTGCTCATTGTCAGCCATTGTCTCTGCAGAATAGTAGAGTAGAACTGAGGTGCCGGGACTGAGGTGCTAGGTACTAAGCCAGCACCTTGGACCCAGGCACTACCAGCAATCAACACTCATTTTTTTTTTAAGATTTTATTTATTTATTTGAGAGAGAGAGAGAATGAGAGAGAGAGCATGAGAGGGGGGAGGGTCAGAGGGAGAAGCAGACTCCCCGCTGAGCAGGGAGCCCGATGTGGGGCTCGATCCTGGGACTCCAGGATCATAACCTGAGCCAAAGGCAGTCACTTAACCAAGTGAGCCACCCAGGTGCCCCGTAGTCAACACTCATTTTATCCACAGATGCATCACAGAAGACGTTGCCACCACAGCAATTAGAAAAGTCCTTACAACAGAGGACCTAACAACCTGTACCAGTCTCCACGGCCCCACTCCCTGGCTCCAGGGATTGGCTCATCCATGGGCGTGTGACCTAGTCCCGGCCAGTGAGGTGGCAGGAACCTCGGGTCTCAGTCTGCAGAGCAAACCATGGGGTGGACCACGCAGGCCAGGGGCTTTTCCATCACGACTGCAGAAGTGGCCTAGGCCAGGCCAGTGCCAGTGCCACAGAGAGCCCAGGAAGCTAGGGGCTTGATAACATGCTGAAGGCTGAATCAAACTCGTCCTGAAGCCCACACGTGCTAGGTCCTCCACTGACTCATGACAACCGTAAATGTGTTCATGGTCTTGGCCTGAACAAGATGACCGTCTGCGTGGTATATACCCTGCAAGATATACCCGCCAGGCATTGGGGACATATTCAGCAAAACAATACCTACATGTAATTCAACCACAGGCAAACATCTCATGGGAAGCTCGAGGCATTCAGATAAATGTGGGGGAATTCCTGAGGCCTTAATTGTTAGTCAGTCTCACTATCATCTTTCCGTTCAAGTTTAAGGGCCGGGGTCGGGCAGGATAGATGCCAGTGTACGCCCATACTGCCATTTGAAAATAAGAGCCCTCTCCCCCATCGTCCCTAAGGTGGCAAACCTGGGGTGTGGGAAACTACCACCCATGGGCCAAATATGGCCTCCCCCTGTATTCTGTAAATTAAGTGTGGCTGGAACATGAGCTATGGATGGTCTGCGGCTGGTTTTTTTTTTTTTTAAGATTTTATTTATTTATTTAATTGACAGAGAGAGAGAGACAGCGAGAGAGGGAACACAAGCAGGGGGAGGGTCAGAGGGAGAAGCAGGCTTCCCGCCGAGCAGGGAGCCCGATGCGGGGCTCGATCCCAGGACCCTGAGATCATGACCTGAGCTGAAGGCAGTCGCTTAACCAACTGAGCCACCCAGGTGCCCCTGTGGCTGCTTTCAAGCCACAATTCCAGAGAGGATTCATCGTCAGTGAGACCACGTGGATTGCAACGCCTAACAGAAAATCTTTACAGAAGACTTTACAGAAAAGTCTGTGCTGATCCCTGTTCTAAAAGATAATATTATCATGTCACGCCTTTGAGCAGAACGTAGCGCTTTCTGGGTAAGAACTAATTTCTTTACCCCCATAGCAGGACTTCCATCATTTTGGCCAGAACTCCATATCCATCCTCCTCTTTTGATACCTTTAATGGCACATCTACATGCCTGCAGCCCAGTGGGAATTCACTGCAGTTTACATGGTCGTGATGCTCAGAAACAGAGTTGTCAGTGTGAACGTGTGAATGTGAGCGTGAGTTTACTCTTTGTCAGCCACGGTATGCAAGTAGAACACAATCCAGTGGTACGCTTTCTGTCTTAGTGACGGCCACGATATGTGGTTACATAATGATATCAGAAAGAATCCACCTTCACAGAACAAACTTCATCTAGGAGGACCCTCAAATCTCTTGTCCTGGGCACTATGCTCCCCCGAGGCTGGGGGCACACAGAGGGACAGAGACTCACCTTACCCATCAGGGTTTTGAAGGACGCCTGTGGTTCCAAGACAAAAGATCCCGACACCAATCACTCACCCACCATCCAGCCAGGCAGCTGTGAGAGAGATCTACTCATAGCAGAAAGGACAGACCGAGAGACCCCACATGACAGCATGCAGTGACAAGTGCCACTACAGGGGATGCTTGGGAGGTTGGGGGTGTGCAGGCTTGGCCAGAGCAGGGGCAGGGGGACCAGGAATGCTCCAGGAGGATGTCACAGTTGTGTCCTTGTGTGGCTACACGAGTCAGTGTGACTGGGCATTGCCCAGACAGGAAATGACGGGGGGGGGGGGGGCGGTGTCGCTGCAAGAATTTAGGAATGAGATTTCTTTCCGTACCATTTTATTTTGCATGCTTTTATGACTCCCTAAAGCTGGATGAGTATGACATGAGGTATGGAGTTTGCCATTTCTTTCAAGTACGGCACACAGAGCACACTTGAGATTTATTTTTGTTGCTTTCACAGTATGATGACTTTTTCTCCCTTTCTGTCTGACCCATGGACAGGGAACAAAGGCAACACAGATCTGCACACTTTGAAATGTCAACAGAAACCTGCAAACCCAGGTTCCCACAGGAGCTGAAGTTTAAGGGCCAGAGTGACAACAAGGGGAGGAAGATAGCAAGTAACCAACTGAAGATGTTATGGGTCTGAGCTGGCCACCTTCTCCACCTGTCGGAGGGAAGCCATGCCTGACAGGAGGGAGCCACAGCTGGGCCTGGTCTCTCTGTCTGGGCTGCCCCTGAGCAGAGCACAGGATGTGCTGAGCTGGGTGTGGGTGTCGGGGGGAGATGGGCAGCTGGCCACAGATGCTACCTGCCAAGTACCTGTAGGACCAGCTCCTGGTCCTCAGCTGAGGTTAAACAATAATTATGCTTAGTTACATATTTACTGTGACAGGAAAGGTGCTCAGTGCTTTGGGTGACTATGTTCTTAAAAACACTTTATGGAGGTGTGACTGACATACAAAAAGCTCTCCATAATTAATGTCTGCACCTTGACCCTGAACCTAACCCTAATATCTAGTTAAGATATACTCAATTTAGAACATGGCTTATAAATTATATGGTGGTTTTTAGGAGCTAGGGGATCCAGGGACCAACCTAATTCCATCTTCTTCTCCCTTGAATTTGAGAGGTTATAACACATTCTGCCCCGTGCTATCTGGAGAGTGGCCACACGGGGGCAACAGTGAGTAAACATTAGGACAAACCCGGCCACAAAGCCAATTCTTCCTTCATCCTGTAAAACCTTGCTCATTCAACGTTTACAGATCATTCTATAGATTATTAAAAGTGTGACTTTGCTGAACTTTTTAAAAAGCAAACTAATTCTTTGAAACTGTTAAAAATATAAGATGTTTTAAAAAATCTCGGAGTTGGCTAGCAGATGAAGACCCAGGGGCCTGGGAAAAGGCTGTGACTATTGAGTATGTTCAGATCTAATTAGGAAACAAGTATGATTTATAGTCCACTTATTTTCACAAAGAGTTTGTGTCAACTAACAGTAGTGAACACACACAAAAGAGTGCAGTTCAGAGGAAAACAAAATAAGAATCAACAGCCTCAAGAGCCAGAGGAAAAGCCACACCCAGGATCAAAGAAGACAGACCAGGGAGGCTAGGTTCAGGCTGATCTGCCGTCTGCAGATCCTCTGGAGCTAGAATGCCCCCAATGCCCCTGGGGGCTGCGGGTCAGGCAGAGCTCAAGCCCTGACGTTGCACTGTTGTAACCAGTGACAAGTCTCCTGGTCACTTCCTCCGTGAGACACCCCCACGCCCTGACTACTCCAGCCCACTTCTGGGAACCCCCATTCCTCTTTCTGACCCCGTTGTTTACTTTTCCCTTCACTTACACAATATACAGTATGTTTACCTACATACTATTCTGTCATTTAAAGGCTTTTGTCATGTTCTTGGTGCACTGTGCTTTGCATCAACCACCCTGATATATAATCACTTGTTGCACTGCGTGACTTAACTGGGGACTAGAAATACCCTCACAGTGTCATGGGGCTAGTGTCCTGGGCAAGGTCCTCGCTGAGCCGGCTCATCCTGCAGCTGTTGCCCTAAAGGCCTGATCCAGGCACTGCTGTTCTTGTGCAAGTAAGACAGCACAAAGCAAATTAGCCAAAACCTTGGCTATTGGTTCGGAATTGCTCAGGGCCCCTCAGCCACATCAAATAGCCTGAGGGCACACCCAGAAGACACTTGCTCGTCCAATGTTGTCCTAGGGAATTTCCATGGAATGGCCATTGTGTCAAATGGGGGAAGGCAGTGTGAGCGGGGAGGGTGGGAGTCAGAATTCCTGAGATAGAATCAATCTTGGAGACTGCCAGGCACTTAAGAGGAGTTCATTACATAGTTCTTTTTTTTTTTTTTTAAAGATTTTATTTATTCATTTATTTGAGAGAGAGAGAGAGAAACAGCATGAGAGGGGAGAAGGTCAGAGGGAGAAGCAGGCTCCCCGCTGAGCCGGGAGCCCGATGTGGGACTCGATCCCAGGACTCCGGGATCATGACCCGAGCCGAAGGCAGTCGCTTAACCAACTGAGCCACCCAGGCACCCCATTACATAGTTCTTGAATGAATAAATGAATCTAAAAACATTTCCTAATTTTAGAAATGATGAGCCTGAAGCTCAGATTAAGTGACTCACCTAAATTGTCCTGGAAATTGGTGACAGAGCCAGACTGAGATCTGAGATGGCCTCCAGCATGATCCCCTTGAGTGGCTTTAGCTCGAGCCATAATCACACATTTAAATTTTCTGGACCCCCAGGGTCTCATGGGACTCTTCATGTGGCATATTCTGGGAACAAAGTTCATGTCAGTGTCACAGAAACCTCTTACACTGGTTATAATGAGATTTTGTGAGGTCAATGGAGTCCCAAGCCATAGACCGCCTCACAGTTTGTCTGCAGAGATATGGTTGGTGGGAAACCCACATGCTGACAGAGCGTAGAGGAAGATGGGAAAAGCAGAGCAAAAGAGGTGGGTGCCCACTTCACTTCTGGCCCCAGATGACATGGTGGTGTCCAGCAGGAAGAGCCCCCCAGATGCCCCCCAGAACCTTCACAGAACTCACCCCTAAGGTTTAAAGCTGAGCTTCATACATAGGTCATGAGCACTCCTGGCAGCTCGGGATAGGATGACACACGACATAATAAAGCCAAGGCATTGAAGTTGTGTATTGAGAAGAAGGAAGATGGTGGAGGAATAGGGGACCCTATTTCAACTGGTCTCTGGAATTGAGCTGGATATCTACCAGCTCACCCTGAGCACCCACGAAACCAGCCTGAGATGTAAGAAGATCTGGATCTCTACAAACAGAAGATCGCAGGTGGTTGGTTTCAAGGTACGAAGCGGGGAGCCGTGATTCTGCAGGCAGATATCGGAGGATATATGGCATCAGGAGGAAGGCTGGCCATGGGGATCCTACACCGCTGGTGAGCGACAGCCTCGCACGCTGAGGACCCGGCACAGACTCGCAGACTGGTAGCGGTGGGGAAAGGATTTTAGGGCAGCCCCGGGGCAGAAACCCAGAGCGGTGGGGTCGCACGTGTGAACTGGGAGCAGCTGGCGGTTTTAGAAGCACAAAGGGCAGAGACGGGCCCCGACCTGGAGGCAGGACTGGGGGCGCTGCGGAGGGGCGCACAACCCAGGCCGCTGCAGTTTATAGCAGCACGGACAGAAACGGAGACGGTGTGGCCTGGAGAGCTCACTGAAGAACAGACTGCGCTCTCTCTGCTCTGAGGCGGAGGGTTGGAAACGGTCTCTTCTGCTCTGACTCGTGAAGAGACACAGAAAGCCGCCAGGAAAGCCACCAGAGAACAAAAGCCCCCAAAGTGATTCCCGCTGAGCCCATCCCCGCCACAGGGGGGCAGGGCAACTCCGCCCAAACAGGGTTGCCGGAGTAACAGCGCGGCAGGCCCCTTGCCCAGAAGACAGGCTGGGAAAACAAGAGGCCAGCAACCCTAAGGTCCCAAGAAAACAGGGGCATCTTGCTTGGGTTCTGGTCAATAATTTGGACTCCATACATTCCCTCAAACACCCATCAACAGAATGACTAGGAGGAGGAGCCCCCAAAATAGAAAAGACTCAGAGATTATGACTTATGCTGCAAATTTACAAATGGATGCAGATATAACCAAGATGTCAGAGATGGAATTCAGGCTAGCAATTGTGAAGACAATGGCTAGAATGGAGAAATCAATTAATGGAAACATAGAGTCTCTAAGGGCAGAAATAAAAGCTGAATTGGCAGAACTTAAAAATGCTATCAATGAGATCCAGTCCAATCTAGATAATCTAACAGCTAAGGTAACTGAGGCAGAAGAACACATAAGCGACCTGGAAGACAATATAATAGATAAAAAGGGAAAAGAGGAGGCCAGGGAAACACAACTCAGAATCCATGAAAATAGAACCAGAGAAATAACTGACACCATGATGCGTTCCAGTATCAGAATAATTGGAATCCAGGAAGGGGTGGAGAGAGAGAGCTAGAAGATGTATTTGAGCAAATCGTAGCTGAGAACATCCCTAATCTGGGGAATGAAACAAACATTCACGTCCTAGAGGCAGAGAGAACCCCTCCCAAGATCAAGGAAAACAGGCCAACACCCCAGCATGTAATAGTAAAACTTGCAAATCTTAGAACCAAGGAAACCATCTTAAGGGCAGTTAAGGGGAAGAGATTCCTTATGCAGAGAAGGAGGAACATCAGAATAATGTCAGACCTATCCACAGAGACCTGGCAAGCCAGAAAGGCCTGGCAAGACATATGCAGGGTACTAAATGAGAAGAACATGCAGCCAAGAATACTTTATCCGGCAAGGCTTTCATTTAGAATGGATGGAGAGATGCAGAGCTTCCACGACTGGCAGAAACTAAAAGAATATGTGAACACTAAGCCGGCCCTGCAAGAAATATTAAGGGGGGTTCTATCAAAGGAGAAAGACCCCAAGAGTGATATATAACAGAAATTTACAAGGACAATCTATAAAAACAACGTCTTCACAGGCAACATGATGACAATTAATTCATATCTTTCAATAATCATTCAACGTGAATGGCCTAAATGCTCCCATAAAACAGCACAGGGTTGCAGACTGGATAAAAAGACAGGATCCATCCATATGCTGCCTACAAGAGACTCATTTTGAACCTAAAGATACATCCAGAGTGAAAGTGAAGGGATGGAGATCCATCTTCCATGCCAGTGGACCTCAAAAGAAAGCTGGGGTAGCAATTCTTATATCAGACAAATTAGATTTTAAACTAAAGTCTGTAATTAAAGACACAGAAGGACACTATATCATTCTTAAAGGGTCTATCCAACAAGAAGATCTAACAATTGTAAATATCTATACCCCCAATATGGGAGCAGCCATCTACATAAGCCAACTGTTAACCAAAATAGAGTCATATTGATAACAATACGTTAATTGTAGGAGACCTCAATACTCCACTCTCAGCAACGGACAGATCATCTAAGCAGAAAATCAACAAGGAAACAAGAGCTTTGAATGATACACTGGACCAGATGGACCTCATAGATATATACAGAACATTCCACCCTAAAACAACAGAATACTCATTCTTCTCGAGCGCACATGGAACTTTCTCCAGAATAGACCACATACTGGGTCACAAATCAGGTCTCAATCGATACCAAAAAATTGAGATTATTCCCTGCATATTCTCAGACCACAATGCTTTAAAACTGGAACTCAATCGCAAGAAAAAATTTGGCAGAAATTCAAACACTTGGAAGCCAAAGACCACTCTGCTCAAGAATGTTTGGGTCCACCAGGAAATCAAAGAACTTAAACAATTCATGGAAATCAATATGAATGAAAACACATCATCCAAAACCTATGGGATACTGCAAAGGCGGTACTAAGGGGGAAATACATAGCCATCCAAGCCTCACTCAAAAAAATAGAAAAATCCCGAATTCACCAACGAACTCTACACCTTAAAGAACTAGAGAAAAAGCAAAAACAATGCCTAAGCCACGCATTAGAAGAGAAATAATTAAAATTAAAGCAGAGATCAATGAATTAGAAACCAGAAACACAGTAGATCAGATCAATGAAACTAGAAGTTGGTTCTTTGAAAGAATTAATAAGATCGATAAACCACTGGCCAGACTTATCCACAAGAAGGGAGAAAGGACCCAAATTAATAAAATTATGAATGAAAGGGGAGAGATCATGACTAACACCAAGGAAATAGAAACAATTATTAGAAATTATTATCAACAACTATATGCCAATAAACTGAGCAATGTGGGTGAAATGGAGGCCTTCCTGGAAACCTATAAGCTGCCAAGACTGAAACAGGAAGAAATTGACAACCTGAATAGGCGAATAACCAGTAACGAGATTGAAGCGGTGATCAAAACCTCCCAAAAAAACAAGAGTCCAGGCATGATGGATTCCCTGGGGAATTCTACCAAACATTCAAAGAAGAAATAATGGTCTATTCTGGAGAAAGTTCCATGTGCGCTCGAGAAGAAATAATACCTATTCTACTGAAGCTGTTTCAAAAAATAGAAAGAAAAGTTCCAAACTCATTCTATGAGGCCAGCATTACCTTAATCCCCAAACCAGGCAAAGACCCCAACAAAAAGGAGAATTTCAGACCAATATCCCTGATGAGTATGGATTCCAAAATCCTCAACAAAATCCTAGCTAACAGGATCCAACAATACATTAAAAGGATCATCCACCACGACCAAGTGGAATTTATCCCCGGGATGCAAGGGTGGTTCAACATTCGCAAATGAATCAATGTGATAGAACACATTAATAAGAGAAGGGAGAAGAACCATATGGTACTCTCAATTGATGCAGAAAAAGCATTTGATATCCTTTCCTGATTAAAACTCTTCAGAGTATAGGGATAGAGGGAACATTCCTCAAGTTCATAAAATCCATCTATGAAAAACCCACAGCAAGTATCATCCTCAATGGGGAAAAACTGAGAGCCTTTCCCTCAAGATTAGGAACATGTCAAGGATGCCCACTCTCGCCACTATTGTTCAAAAAGTACTAGAAGTCCTAGCAACAGCAATCGGACAAAATAAAAGGTATTCAAATTGGCAAAGAAGAAGTCAAACTCCCTCTTTTCGCAGACGACATACTTTATGTGGAAAACCCAAAAGACTCCACCCCCAAATTACTAGAACTCATAGAGCAATTCAGTAATGTGGCAGGATACAAAATCAATGCACAGAAATCAGTTGCTTTCTTATACACTAACAACGCAACTGTAGAAAGAGAAATTAGAGAAATGATTCCATTTACAATAGCACCAAAACCATAAGATACCTCTGATTAAACCTAACCAAAGAGGTAAAGGATCTATACTCTAGGAACTACAGAACACTCGTGAAAGAAATTGAAGACACAAAAAGATGGAAAAATATTCCATGCTCATGGATCAGAAGAATACACATTGTTAAAATGTCTATGCTACCCAGAGTAATCTATATCTTCAATGCCATCCCGATCAAAATTCCAATGACATTTTTCAGAGTGCGGGAACAAACAATCCTAAAATTTGTATGGAATCAGAAAAGACCCCAAATCGCCGAGGAAATGTTGAAAAAGAAAAACCTGGGGGCACCACGTTGCCCGATTTCAAGCTACATTACAAAGCAGTGATCACCAAGACAGCACGGTACTGGCACAAAAACAACATATAGACCAATGGAACAGAATAGAAAACCCAGACATGGACCCTGAACTCTATGGTAAAATAATCTTTGACAAAGCAGGAAAAAACATGCAATGGAAAAAAGACAGTCTCTTCAATAAACGGTGCTGGGAAAATTGGACAGCCACATGCAGAAGAATGAAACTCGACCATTCTCTAACACCATTCACAAAGATAAACTCAAAGTGGATGAAAGACCTCAATGTGAGACAGGAATCCATCAAAATCCTAGAGGAGAACATAGGCAGTAACCTCTTTGACATCGCACACAGCAACTTCTTTCAAGATACATCTCCAAAAGCTAGTGAAACAAAAGCAAAAATGAACTTTTGGGACTTCATCAAGATAAAAAGCTTCTGCACAGCAAAGGAAACAGTCAACAAAACAAAGAGGCAACCCACATAATGGGAGAAGATATTTGCAAATGACACTACAGATAAAGGGCTGGTATCCAAGATCCATAAAGAACTTCTCAAATCAACACACAAAAAACAAA